TAAAACTATGTAATTTGTCGATCTGTATTATCGACTGTAAGTAACTATAGTTACCGGCAAGCTCGCTGTGGTGCATCTTTTGCTTGGAAGAGAACTGTGACGCTAGTAGTGAAGAATGTCGGAAGCTCGAGATGGTGTTTCCGATACACAATTCACATCAAGTAATCGTGTGTCTTAATTAACTAAGTAATCTACTGAAAATACACTCCACTGCCTTTGTACATGCCTTATCTCGGGGTCTTCGGATGCGAATTTTCGATTCGAGCTCTATATCTCTCGATATTTACGAAAAACTGTTAGCGGCGGCCATCTTGTGTCGTCTTTTTCGTGAATTGTCACCACTCTGGCCGAATATTGCAAATATCTCCGCAATAACTGCAAAACGGACATTTCTACATCCGAAGAACCCCAGTTTAGTCTTTTGGGAATCTAAATTTTCCACTTACGAACTGCACATTTCGATATTAAAGCGTCAGTTTTACTTGATAGAAAGCTCTAAAACTAATATACGTATATGGCTTTTCTTCTATGTGTGGGTCGTCATAGTGTGCAGTCTCCCGCCACCTTAACACTGGCTTGTCGCGTATAAGCGATTCACTTTCTTCCCCCACCTCCCATCCCTACACTCATACAAAACGCAGTAAAATCTACGTTACATACATATCGTGTATGATGTATATGTACATACATAGTTATTTGGTTACTTTTACACTAAGATTTTATAGAGCATATCTGAATTTTTCATTGAACACTATATAAGCAAGCATCTTTAAAAGATCATCATAGAATTTATATCTTTTTAGTCAAACCATGAATGCATATGTTCATTATATTGTATGATACATATGTACATATACATGTGTATGTACACATCTGAGAGCATGCGCAATTATGCGTGTACATATATACGGGGTGACCGTTTTATTTGGAAATACAAAATATCTCGGAATGTTACGAAAAATAGTAAAAAGATGTTCTTACAAAAATCGTTTGATTTGATAGAGCACATTACATGGTTTCAATAGTTTTTGCTTGGGCGTAGTGGTGGCCGAGATTTCAAGGTTAAGTTAACTTTTAAAATCGATTAAAACCACGCAATCTGCTCCGTCAAATTAAACATTTAAACATTTTTAATCGAACATTTTTCCACTACCTTTCGTAGTTTATGAGATATTCTGGATTTCCAGATGAAACGGACACCCTGTATGTACATTTGTATACATACATTGCGAATCGGAACGTTTACAACTCAGACCAATTAGAGTTGAATACGTTCAACATATTTTGTCAACATTACTAATCAAGCGATGCATACTAATTTATTGCATACTATGTGTACGCTTCTTTCATTGAAAAATTAACAGCATAGACCAAGTATTGTGACGGAAACTACTTTTTAACAGAAGATTATTTACAGGGTTATAAAATATATAATTGCTGTATCGTAAAATTGAAAATAAAAAGAAATCGAGACGCAATATAATTTTATTTGTTAATTTTAATCGTCATTACCCAGTTTATATACCTCTTGTACTCGTATCTTTATAATGATACTATGTAATTGCGGAAGAATATTGAACATTTTTTTTATTACCGAGTAAGAAGGATTAGACGATAATGTAGGCGTTCTTTTCATCACACTTATGTTTAATGTATACAAAAAATTTATGATAATATTGAGAAAAAGCTACATACAATATGTAGTGGAGCATGGTACATAATTCTCTATCTATCCCACGATTTCTGCTGTAAATAACTCTAAATGGGAAAGAAAGACTTTGCAATAAACTGTAAAGCTATGCAGCTAATATTTTACATATACAAATATGCCTTCAGATTATTCATAGTTTTATACAAGTTTTGCATTTTAACGGCGACAATGGGAACAAAACCTTAATCAAGAGAAACTTAAGGCTCTTGCAACTACAACATTCTTTTGCGCAATTTAAATTTCTATGTATATTGGCGGCTAACAATGATCTCAAGTTGTTTATTAGTTCCAGTAGTATTGCAAATACGTTCTGTATATTCCATTCGTAACTTATTTGTTTTTGTACAATTATGTTCTTGTCTACGGAATAATTAAATAAAGTCGTGTAGTACACTATCATACTTAGACATAAACTAAATGCGAATCATTCATCAGACTGATAAAAATATGATGCCTTTACATTATATGAAAATAATACACATTTGGTTTGTACGTATGCATGTTTGATTAATGCTATATTCATGATACTAATTTCCGTCTACTCTTTTAAAATCTATTACAATTCATACTACTCATTTTCTGTCCATTTCCATGTCAATATCACTCCATAAGAAGTTATAACGTTCCAGAGGTACTCTACTTTAAACCTCTCTGTTTTAAAATCGTTTGCCTTAGTAAACATATGGTTTTAATCCCTTGAAACATGCAGTTCTAAAAATTTATACAGGTTTTCAATTGCGTAGCCATTAAAAGAGAGTCGGGTAACGTATTTAATTTTCTAGAACAGTTGAATCACAATTATTAAGAGTCAAGCTAATATTCAAGTACATATTCAAGCTGTGTTTCAGAGAATTAATAGGTGCAGTTTTGTGCTTTCAAATTATCAGCTTTTCAATGTAAACAAGATGGAGAAATCATAATGATTACACATATAATAGAGATCAGTAAAGTAATTCCAAAGAATCATAATTTTGAAGTATAACTTAAGAAATATTACACCCATCTTTCTTTTTGTTAAAATAGGTTTCTTAATTTTATATATTGCTTTATTCTGTTTGCCATCAGACACACTTAGATTCGCATTAATATTGAGCACTCCTGGATGGATATTATGCAAATATTAATCATATAGTTGTTCAAACTATAACAGCATCTTCATTGAATGTTTTCCATTGGATGGACTTGTGCATTTGTATTAGTAAATGCAGAGGCAATTTCCAAAATGTGCCTTTCATTTCGAAATGGAGTGCTGAGATTCTTAACTACTACTTAGTTTGGTATGACGGCAAACAAAGACTGGTCAAAAAATGGCAATGGTATAATTAATTAATAATTTCTATAGTTTACGACATCTAGATTTAAATATCTATTATTAATATTTCCACCTGATGCCAGTTAGTAATTTTTTAAATATCTCGTTAATTACATTCTGCAAAATGTAATGCATGTATGTCCTTAAACTCAAACTGTATCTTAGATGTACCTATCTGAAAGTCAGAAAAGTTTCATTATTTTTAAATTCTATATTTTTTAATTCGATTGTATTGAAGCATGAATCAGATAACACCATGATCCAAATATATAAACGATTTCTTGCAATACATTGCATTTGTTATTAATTAAGAACGTTTTACATTGTGTGACTGCCGTTGTACGCATACACGCATTGCTACTACATGTTTCAATGAATACACATCCAAGAGTCGAAATAGTATAATGTTCGCTTTTCGTATATAATGTAAGTTATATCTTTGTAGAATGTTTTTATGTTATCGATACAGCGAAAAGCATTATATCTTGTGACGTATACCATCGATGAAAATCCAAACGCAAATTCAAACAAGTTTAACATCGAATTATGCATATAATTCTTAAACGTACGTATGTCGATAGTAATACATATACAAATAACATAAAACATAATTGTATACAATTACAAAAATGTTTAGCCATTTAAATATTTTATCGATGGGTCTTTATACGCATACAAATGGATTATCTGTTTAGAGATATTAAAGTAATTTAATGGTCAATGTTGAATTATTCCTTGATTATGATATGACTGAAATGGAATTAAGTAATGATTCTCAAACGATGCTTTTAATATACCTACTGGCAGCTTCAAACTTTCTGAACAGTTCAGAATGAAGTAACCCTACAGTTTTATCTCACATGTATAGTGTGAATATTGCAAGAGAGAGAGAGAGAGAGAAAGAGAGAGAGAGAGAGAGAGAGAGAGAGAGAGAGAGAGAGAGAGAGAGAGAGAGAGAGCAAACGTTTGTTAACTTATTTAAATGTCTTTTACCGTAAGCAACAAGAAACTGTATTTGAAGTATCGTTACATTACAAGTTTATTTATACAATTAAACTATCTATGTACAATATATTAATATGAATGTTATATAATTTCTTGCAACATGTATTTCAAGAGGCTTTTTAATGGAGCTGGCCGTTCACACACTAAACTTCTATTTATTCTCGACTCCGTTTATAATCCGTGTACAGAAAAGTTATGAATCTGTAATGACATCCCAGACTTTGCAGATGAGCATTCTATACTTATGATTATATCGACCACAGGAATTCACTTAATTTCCATAAGAACTTAATACTCTTAGAAATAGTCACAGATTAATTTATCAATCAGGAACACCCGAAAAAGCACAATTAAAAATTAATAAAATCGACATTTAATCTATATTACTCTAGATATATTGTAACAAAATTGGATCGAAGAGTTTTTTGGCAGATAAATTAGCAAATGAAAGTTGATCGTTCTCCACTGGTTAGCTACTTAATATAGATTCAATAGATCTTCAATTAGGCACAAAATATAGCATCCATATTGCATTGAAAACGGTAGCAATGCACAGTTAATACATAAATAATACTATGTAGATTAATGAAAATTTGACTAAACTTTATTCGGATACGTACTAATTATTATGCCTACGCGTGATGAATTCTTTTGAATTAGTTTAAAAAAATTCTGATGTATAATGACTTGAGTAATTCTTGGTGATATATATATCCACCTATATGTATATCTATGGTTTTGTGATGTGTTTGAATACCGTACTTGACGATACAGTAGCATTGAAAAGTAGAATGAAGCTCTTACTTATTCGTTGTTCTTAAATGTAACCTTGTCGGAGATAGGTTTAAACGATATACATAGAAAAGTATAACTAAATCAAATTCACGAGAGCATTATATGTCTTATGACCTTGTTGAAAATATATGCATTCAAAAAAGTTTCAGTTCAATTCAATTCAATTTGCAACGACAAAACGTGTACTTAATATACTCGATAGCGTTAAAAGTCAAATAAATAAATGCAAATTTATAAAATTATATAGACAAAAAGATCGTACCTTACGCTATTATATCGGTTTCTGTCTTATCTTCAGTTGTCTTCTATTCGCACCTATATATATATATATAATTTCTATAATATATTATTTACCTGATGTAATAGTGATCTAAACTTAAACAGTTGTCCCGTAGGTACTGAACACCACTCTGGTAGTATCCGTGTCCAGAGTAACATCTTCCGGGGATGCTAAATCGACTTTTATGGAACCAGAATTGTTTCTTCTTCTGGTTATACCACCTCCCCAATTTGATAACGTCCAGTGGTAAGTTTCGCTCTCTTTCTCAATATTAGTGGTCTCCTGCGTATCGTTGTCTTTGTCCAAACCAGTTTCGATAGAAACTGAGGACTGCGACGCTACGGAGTCGAAGCTGGAATCTGCCGCTCCTCTGTAGCGGCTAACGTACTCTGTGGACATTTCACCGGGCGATTCTTCGATCGCTCTCAGTATGTTCTGACACAGCTCTGAATCCAGTGGAATCGGATTCTCGGAGTCGCGATTATGAATTGTAACAGCTATGTGCGCTGGATGAGGGATGGGAAGAGGAATTTGCAGTTTCTCCGCGCTATAAGGACGGATCTGACGTTTCCACGGCTGCCAGCGTGCTTCAGTGACACCGTTTGTTGTGGTTGCTCGCCGTTTGTTTCTCGTTGACGTTAAAAGCCCCCCGGTATCACTGTGAAACAAGACACATGTACTTGTGTAGATACTTCAAACACTCTGATGTCCTACTTTCTACAGCCTCCGTTTCATTTACCTTCGTTTCTCAGACTTTCTACTGTTGCTGGTTTGCTTGGCTCGTGGATTGAACGCCGAGACCTCCAAGTAAGGGCTGTAAACTTGTATATTCCCGCGTGGTGCGTAAACTGCTCCCAACAAGTCCGGGCCATTTGTGCCGCCGAGTTCAGTACTGTGAACCATGTCGGTATAACGCGACAGATCAACCCCCGGGTGCGGTTCCAGTCTGAACTTGGTGTCCGCGTCGTCGAGAGGCTGGAGGAAGTTTAAACTGAATATGTCCGCGTACATCAGGCCAGCCAGACCAGCCCAGTCGCTGACGCTTAACCCTTTATTCTCCCAAAAATCTTCCTCGTTTCCTGACAATCTCGCGAACACGTGAGTAGGATAGAGGCGTTCTAACATGAGTGCTCCCTGTTGTATCACTACCTGTACCATTGCGAAAAAATGGCTTCAATTCCGAATGCAACGTCATAAAACGAAAACACTCTAGACACCGGCAATTACCTTCAGGTCGAAAGTAGTCAGCTTTATTTTGCTTCTCACGACCATTCCGAGACCTGTTTGCAAATTCTTCCTACGTCTATCTAGTTTCTCGTGTAATACAGCGATTAGATCTTTGGCTTCCTTTTCGAGCGATCTGTACGGATCCTTTGTCTTGGCTAGACTAGCAGCGAATGGGCCAAAACAAGCCTCGACGAATTGCGTGAAGTCTCTCTGCGGTTGGGTGATCAATCGTTCTGTCTCCTGCTGGAAGGCCAGCAACTCGTCCAGCTCTAGTTTCGCTTCGAAAGCGGCTAGCGCTTGTTCTGGCTTGATCTAGAAACGAAAAGAAGAGACCAGTCAACAAGTTGACCGTTCGATTACTTTGGATTGATAGTATACGATTACGTACTTGATAATAGTAATCGGACGTCAATCCTGGTCCGGCTATTCGTTTCACTACAAAGCTATCGCTGGCAGGTATGCGACCCCTGTTCTTTATTACTAAATGAAACATAACCGTGTCCCAGAACACTCTAATCCAGTAACGTATCACAGAAACTAACCCAAACAAAAAACAACAGAGTTTATAGACACTGTGTGATTATATAGTACTTGGAGTTAAATATGCCATCGTTGCACAATACCTGTAAGTATCAGGAAAGAAATGATGGGGCAGAAAAGAAGAGCTACGATTAACGCTGCGATCGGCTGTAGACATCCTTGAATGCCGATATTCCAAACTAATGCCTCCATAATGACTAAGTATCGATTCCTACTTGGTTCTGGGCTATCAAGATCCATGATAAGCGCCATGAACGCGTGCAGTGCCATGGTAATTACAGGCATCCTAAAACAATTTTGTTTAATTATCAATTCCTCAAACACGTGAGCGTGAAGTATCGAGGATTGGATTGTCAACGAACCACAAAACTGCGGTCAGTGCAACGAGAAGTGATCCCAGGCTCGTCAGTATACAAACAACAGGAAAAACAAATAATATTACAAGTGTTCCTAGCAGTCCCTTGACGCCATAATTCCATAGTCTGTTTAAATGCCTTGTCATTCCTTTGCCAATAAATCCTGTTAAATGAAACCATTGTTCGACAATGTAAAGTTTAATTATCGCTGATCAATCGTCAGGAAATATATGCGTCTATGAATTCAACTTACCGGTATCTGGTTCTGTTTCGAAGTGCGTCCGACTTTTGCTGATGTGTCGCCAAAGTGCGATTAATCGAGAACAAAGGGTGGGCATTTGAGAAGACTTTCTGGGGAACAAGGTGCCATTTAGCTGACTTAATTCTAGATCGGGGGTAAACGATTGCACGAGCAACAAGGCTCTAATGGAGACCGGGCTACACCACGGCACTGCAACGCCCAACAGGAACATAGCGTTCCAAGTCCAACACCATGTCCTGGCTACGTAGTTTATCCAACGCCACATAGGCCACCTGATTTCAGACATAAAATCGAACGTTAAACAAGTTCTGTTGGTCCAATAATCTTAGATTAAATGTTGCATACCTTGTCGTAGTCGTGTGAAGTATTTCTCTCTCGACTAAAAAGACCGGTTGACTTGGATCTGCGCGGGGAGTTGTAATAGACGTCGGAGTGTTGCTCAGCACCGTTGGTATAATTTCCGACTGGCCTTGGAAATTACGCCTGACGATCCAGTTCTTTGGAAGCCATATTTGAGTCGGCCATTGGAAGCTTCTTGTTGGTGTTTTAACTTTTCGCAGTTCTTTCAATAAAACTGGTTCCCTCTGAGAAAAGTAAAAGTACATCATCGGTATTCTCTTCGCAAGAAAGAAACGCTACTATTTCGTCGATACACGGATCGTTCTAGATACCTCTTTCATAAAAGTTAAATCGCGATTAAGAAAGTAGACCGTTTGTTGTAGATTCTGATTGGTGCAGAGAGTCAGAGCTTCCTCGTGAGCACTCCATTCGCAGTCCTCTATGAACTTCTCCTCCACCTCTCTCATTCTGTCCCGCATCCAGGGCTCTATTCGCGAGAGTACCGGGTGTTCATTTTCGATGTGACGTCTTAGCGATTCCTTGGTCTGCAGCAACTGTCGTTGCACCGTTTCTACCGCTCGGTGCATCAGCACGACCGATTGCGCCTGTTGCACCAGAAGCTGAGCAATTCCGTTACCAAGATCGAGTATATCCGGATGAGACAATATATTCGAGAAAACCCTTTGTAGGTACTCGCGCATAACTGCTTCGTTGACCTCCTGCGAAACGAAGGGCATTTGTTAGAACGAAGACGAAGAAGAAGAAGATTTGAAGACGAAGAAGAACACATACTTTCTCGATCTCTTCGTCCGGCTTTTTTCGAGCTCTCAACTCCGATATCAGTCTTTCTCTGAAATGCAGAAACCAGCCTCGTGTCTCTCTCTCCGAAATAGCAACTAGAATCGGTAAAGCTTTTCTGATAGTGTCTCTGCTAAATAATCTAAGGTCAACCACCGCTCCACCAGGTGTCCCGAATACAAAAGGAACTGGGATCGGTAAAAGTTGCGACAATTCCCTCTCCACCTCGAACTTCTCCATAGTTGCCCGTCGAAGCTGTTTCCGGACGAATCCGCATAGCAGTTCAAGCGAGTCCTCATACTCCGGCTGAGATGGTAATGTTCAAATAATTTCATCGGGTCCGTGGAATCATCGATATGATCAGCGATTGCTCCGAAACTTACCCTACATACCAACTCGGCGACCAAGTAGCGACAACGTTCTTCCCTGATTTTTGCATCCAGATTGTGCGCTTGAAGCGATGGTACACCAATTATAATGTCTAAAGAAGAGCGAACAACACGTCAACATTATTTTCCAAGGACAATCGAGAATTCAAGGGATGTCAAGATTCTGAATTACCAAGAAGTCGCAACAGTCCTGTCAAGAACGCCTTCAGGGACTGCGAAACGCTGAAACAGTGAGACACCAGCCTGGCTTTCGCCGTGACCACGATGAACCTGGTCGCCAGGGCAAGGTCCCGGAGCAGAGCATCCCGTCTCCTGTCCCGCCCTCGCTGCAACAATCCGCTTAATCTCCATCGATGAGTCTGTCCCGCGAAGTTGATCGAGTCGACCTCGAATTCCCTGAAAAACGAGCCGATCGTCAAGTTGATCAACGCCAGGACGAAGAAGCGGCACGAATCTACTGGTTCTCTATACTTGTAAACGAAACAACATTCACATACACGAGTGGTTTTACACATTTTCTTTCTTTCTTTCTTTCTTTCTTTTGGGGAGTTTTCTGGGTAAAGAGAGCGAGAGATAGAGAGACAGGGACGAATAAGTTGGGAACGTGTTTCCTTTCCCGTAACGTTATAGTGCGGTTCTTCCCCGTGGTGTGTAACGCAAAGCTACGAATCCTTGTCTATCCTCTTTGGTGGAACCAAAACCAATCAAACAGATTACAAAGACTACAAAGCTAAGAGGCTACGAAAAAAAAAAAGAAAAGGTTTCGGCGAACCATTATGTACAGCAAAATTAGCCATGAAAATAAAAGTATTGCGGCAAGCTGCGTGGACACTATTGTAGCATACATCCTAAAACCTTGTGCAGCGCGACGTTCAACAGTGGATTCTTGCAGACGAGGGTGGCCGATGCTGAACTCTTTCGATCTAGCACCATGGGTGAAAAGCGCAACCTCTTGCGACAAGTAGAGCCACTGTTCAACAGTCCGCTATCATACAGTATTGTCGTATAGTTTGGCCTCGGTTTTTTCTACGCTCTGTGAGAGACGAGTCGGGTGTGCGGTGTGCAAGATATCGCAACAACGATCATGCTGTCTCGTAGGATCGTCTTCGGTGAGAGAATTTTTCGTTAACTAGTTTTGTCGGGAGGAACACGTGGCGTCCGTCGTCAGAGGTCACGTCACGAGAACGAATGATTCCAGTCTCTAAGTCACTGCCACGAGAGAGAGACTATCGATCCGTCGTTCGGTGAATATTGTGTGACGCTGATGCATGACATACCCGCATCTTCGAATGCTCTCCAATTGAGTGGCATTCAGCTTCTTCGGTTTTCCGTACTTCTCCTTCTGAAAGCTTTACAAAAATCGTTAGAATAACCGTGTTGCATAGAATCGCGGGAACGAGAGGCCCCTAGTTTTTCGTAGGGACGCACAGGTAGAAGGACAAATCGGGCGATTCGACACGGTCGGGATGCTTCCTTTTTTCAACCCTCTTCCCTTTTACACGCTCTAACTAACTACGCTACAGCGCGCGACGTACAACTTGAAACGGGAGAGACACTATAGCGTTCACGGTGCTACAGCTTCGATCTATTCGTATCTGCAATCTTCTATCGTGAAGCGTCTACATACCAGTGCGGTATTACCTGGATCGGAATCGCTAATCTCTAACTCTACGCCAATACGCTCGCTACTTGGTATCGTGTTTGGAAAGCGTTTTTCTCAAGGGACTCCGAGGAAGAAGATGGATCGCAGATCCGTTGGCTGGTTTCAGCGGGAGAGAAAGATTTCGACCGCGAGAAATATGGAATCCCCTGACGTTTGTGCACAACTTGTGGATCGAGGATGCGAGGGTGGCAGTCGAATACATCCGATTCCAGCCCGCGCGGTGAAAGGACGACGCAAGGAACGGAGAGAGCCGTGGGCGAATGGAACCTACCCCCGTTTGCTGATGCTCTCCAGCTGTTTCTTGGTCAGCCTCCTAGGCTCGCCCTTGCTGTCCACGGCGACCGAGTCCAGCTCGTCGAAGCTGGGCGCGACGAACAGGTCTCTCAGGTGGTGCTTCTTCCTGGCGAGCGTGTCTTCCGGTTCCGTGCAGGTGGACAACGGCGGTGGAAGCACGATCGGGAATGTTCTCCAATGGTAGAGGAATTGCTGCGCCACCTCTTTGATGTTGTGCACCAGGGCCTCGACCTCGGCCGGCGCGCCCCGCAGGTGCGACGTGTCGAACTCCACCGGTTCTTTCTGAGATCAACCAGGAAAAGAATACGAAAATGTAGCACGAGCTCCCCTGACCTAGATTCTGAAGTTTTACGAAAATTCTCGGTTTTTCTTTTTTACACGCGATTCTATGAAAGCTAAAAATAAGGGAGGAAGTTTCTTTGAGCGATTGAAAGATTTCTTGCGGTGAAAATGAAACGAAAATGTTGCTCACTTTTACGAACGCACTTCTTTCTCTTGTAGATAGCAATTTTATGCCTTTTCATACTGAAACATCGACTAGAAAATTGTTATATCATATTTGGAAGTAATTTGCAGATCATCAGATTTGTTTATACTTTAGAGAACTCTTAAAAATTTAAATATTGTATAGGTTCTGTTTTAGATTCAGATTTAAAATAGCTTCGAGCGTAAAGAGTCAAAAAAACTGTTAAACGTGTAAATGTTATGTCGTTCATAAGACTCAATTTCGTATGCATGAAATGCGTTACGCGTTTAAGTTAGAAAAAAAAACTATATTGGATTTAGAATTCAAACTGGCTTCAAAAGCTTTCATTTCTGTCCGTTTTTTACTTCGAGGAAGAAATTAACCCTTCAACCAAGGATAGTTTGAACGAAAGTAATATTGTATTTTAGCTCCATAAATCTGTTCCACGTTATATTTAAAGAATCCTGTTACTCTAATTTCTGTAAGAAAAGAAAGTAACTTTCTAAAAATTTCGCACAGATTTATGGATTCAAAAATACTATATACAGGCTGTCCAATCTGAGTTGAGATTGTAAAAAATCTTGCAAACATATGATTTGAAAAAAAGAACGAACTGTCTCTTTTTAAACTACGTGACTACGAGATTTTTTACACTCGAAACTTAAATGGGATACCCTGCATACATTTCCCTATTTATATGCTCGCTACTGTGGATCTATTGGGTTGGCAACTAAGTAATTGCCGATTTGTTCAATGAAATAAAAATTTTTTTTTTTACTTGGAATGAAGTTTAATCTGTAATGTATTTTCCATTTTGTTCGATGACCTTTTGCCATCTCTCTGACAACTTGAAAATTCCACGCTCGTAGAAAGTCTGATCCTTTTCGGCCAAAAACTGAGTTAAGTGAGATTTTACAGCGTCGTCGTCATTAAAAGTTTTACCACGAAGGGAGTTGTCCAGGGATACGATTGACCAATTCTGGTCGCTTTTCCTTGACCGCTGCATTCAATTTGTCCAGTTGCTAACATTCACGGATAATAAAAAATAACAATAATAATAATAATAATAATAATAATTTTATAATATAACATTTACGGATATCATAAAT